ACAGAGATAGATAGATAGATAGATAGATAGATAGATAGATAGATAGATAGATAGATAGATAAAAATTGTTATTAATTATTTATTTATTAAGTTGAATATTATTTATTAAGTTGAAATTTATCATATTTAAAACTATCGTTTCCCTGGGAAGAACCGGATATCGTGCTAAGGAATCCATTTAGACCTCATTCCCTTCGAGGAAACGGCGATGGCGTCATCAAAAGGGGCCGCGGAGCTGCGAATAACGCCCAGGGACATGGCCGGGAGGCGAGGCGAGAGAAGTTCCCATGGTCCCTTGCGCGCCAGAGCGGCCTAGTCCGGTTGCCATGGAGACAGCTGCCGTGCTGCGCGTGAAGAGAAAGCGCGGAGGGTCTTTGCCGGCCGAAGCGCTGGTCCTTGCTTGCAAGCGCTTCCGAAGGGAGGCTGGGGCTGCCGCCGAGGCCTCCTCCTCCTCCTCCTCGCCCGGAGAGGGCGAGGTGGAGAAGACTCTCTTCAAGTTGGTAGCCACCGTAAACTCGGAGGTGAGGCTTCGTGTGTGTTTTGGCTGGGATCGTTAGATTAAATTATCGATTTAATTATCGTTAGTTAATACGCGATGTGTTTAAGCGCGCCTGGCTGGGGGATTCTGGGAGTTGGAAGTCCACAGCATCTTCAAAGGTCGAAGGTTAACAGATTAACAGAGTTGGAAGGGATCTTGGAGGTCATCTAGTCCAATCCCCCCCCCAGCCCAAGCAGGAGCCCCTGCACCATTTCTGACAGAGGGCAGTCCAGTCTCTTCTCGGAAAGCTTCCAGTGATGAAGCTCCCACAACGTCTGAATTACAGAACATTGATCTAAACACAGGTAGTCCTCGGTTTACAACGGTTTCTTTAGTGACCATTCAAAGTTTCCACGGCACTGGAAAAAAGTGACTTCTGGTGACCGTTTTTTTTTCCCACATTTGCGACCATTTGCAGCATTTCCCCCATGGTCCCGTGATCCAAATTCTCACATTTATGACGGTTGCAGCGTCATTGGATCCCCTTTTGTGTCCTGATAAGCAAAAGTCAAGGGGGGGAGGGGAAGCCAGATTCGCTTAACAACGCTGTTATTAATTCAACAACTGCAATGATTCACTTAACAAACGTGGCAAGAAAGGTGGTTAAAAGGGGGGCGGGCAAAGCTCGCTTCACAAATTTCTCCGCGGCATAAATTTTGGGCTCAATGGTGGGTCATAAATCGAGGACTAATCTTGTACTGTGATCAGTTTTGATTCTTGTAATCTTTCAGTGGGCGAAATGGTGCATCGTAGGGTAACAGTTTTGGAACCAAAGGGACCTCAAATGGATGAACTTACAGAATGTGTCCAAAATCTGGGACCTATGACTCTGCTGGAATTGACACTTTGCAAATTGTATAAAACAAGTGTATCATCATCCTCTTTTAACGACCCCATAATCCTTTGCAGGCTGGAGTCTGGGCAACTGAATGGAGCAGAGTGTTTACTGGCCTATCGCCAATGCGGAGGGTGTGTTTTTTTTTCAACAGATATATTCTCAGCGTGCCCAGAGAGAGAAATATCTGCCTCTCCCTAGTATAAAACAGTGTATGACATAAACATCACCATAAAGCAGGGTGTGACATAATACAAAATGTCATAAAAGATCTCCTGTGCTGTTGTTTGGCTGCAATATAAAGTTCAACATGGGCTACTTCCAAGGAAGATTAACATCTCTGGATGTATCTCAACTTCTCCAGTGAAGGAAGGACATCAGGAGCTCTATCATTGTTAAAAGGAAATATCGCTGAATGCATTTCTGCACCTGAGGGCAGGATAAGAGGCAACGGATGGAAGATTATCAAAGAGAGATCCAACCTAGAACTAAGGAGAAACTTCCTGATTGTGAGGACAATTAATCAATAGAACGTCTTGCCTCAGTCTAGAAATTGTGGGTGCTCCATCACTGGAGATTTATAAGGAGAGATTGGACGACCATTTGTCTGAAATGTTAAAGAGTTTCCTGCTTGGGCAGAGGGTTGGATTAGAAGAGGGTCTCTTCTAACCCAATTATTCTATGTTTTATGCTGGTTTTGCACAAAGTTGGACTGTGGAGCATCCTGCCCCATTTGGGGGGGAAGGTCATTAGAGTATCTTGGACTGCATTTAAACATCCTGCTTTGTTTTAGGGCAAAAAGTAGGTTTGGTGCACCAAATATATTGTAGATTAGAACATTCAGATCCAGAATGTTCTTGTTCTGACCTAGGCTTCCTGAGACAGTAAAAAGCACACGATTAGTCCCAAAAACCCTCTTTTTATTTCAACGGCTGTGAATTATGCTCATTCACAACCCCTAATGAGTCACAAATAGTTTGTAAAGAGGCCGACAGAAGTCTGCTTCAGTCCTTTGGGATAAGGCTGATAAGCACCCACCTTTATCTCTCTTGACACGCTGCCAAAGACCTAATTGGCAATTAGCTTTACAAAGCCACACGGAACACAGAGTCAAAACGGAGCTTCAG